CACAGCTGCAAAAACTGCCTAATTTCCCAGCTGAAAGAAGTAAGCGAGTACCACTTACTGCAAGTTTGGGGGGAGGGATAGCTCAGTGGTTTGAGCATTGGCCTGCTAAACCCAGGGTTGTGAATTCAATCCTTGAGAGGGCCATTTGGGATCTGGGGCAAAAATTGGGGATTGGTCCTGCTTTGAGCAGGGGGTTGGACTAGATGATGCCCCAGAGGTCCCTTCCCACCCTGATATTCTATGAACAATTTTTTTCTGACCCCTGAACATTTACTGAAAAAGTAAGAATAAAACATGCATCCATGCCGAGTCTCTGTATAACTTGTATATTTCAAGAGGCTGACAGAGAATACTTGACCGTAATGAACAAGGGAGTGCAGGAGTGGGGGAGTGAGATTTTCTTTGCTTTGGATCATAATGAAATGCTCAACATCTCACAGCCTCCTGCCTGCCTTTCCTGAGCCCCCGGGGGTCACAAGCCACCAGCCGAGAAACACAAGCCTAGATCTTTATTTTGTATCGTCATTGACTACGACTGGAAAGAGAGGGCTACATTGTACCCAGACAAAGCATGAATGAGCCAAGTGCTATGTCATATATGGACCAACCCTGGGAACTGTTAATTCCAAAAACACCCATGTTTTGAACTCTCTTCCTTACTTCACTGTGAAAAGAATATGAAAGTTCAGAAGATCTTACAATACCCTATAGCAACAAGTTGATGAAAATTACGTTAAATTATTTTCAGCCATGAATGTGATGCACAGGTGCAAGAAGACCAAATGCAGAAAATTAAATTAGTCCAAACAAACGGGGGCTAATGATATCGTTCAGGGACAGTACTAAGAACATGCTTGGAGAACAAGAAAACGTAGGAACAAAGTTACCTATGCCAAATTTGGCCTAAGGGACATGGATTTAAAAACGGGGGAGAGGGAAGAAAGAAAATCATCTATCAACTTGGCAAGTTTGTCTCTCATCACAACTCCTCCAAGGTTCCTCAACCCAAGTCAAAAGAAGCAAACTGATGATCCACGATTCTTAATTTCCTTTTTTTAAATTCTGTTATATCCTGTTCCTTTCTCACAAAGGCTGTAAGGGCTTGTCAGTTAAAATATATTCCAAAGAGACCCATTGCTCCAGTGAGTAGTGACTTTCTTAAAGTCTCTAAATGCTTGTAAGTTAAATTATTTTCTAAAAGGACCCCTCAAAAGAGGAGGATTAGTAATGAAACTTACTCTGTTCCCCGCAGGCCACTACCTCCGTGCCTTTACTCTCTGGTGCAACGCCTTTCAATAATTCTAGCTCTGCTGAAGATGTTCCCCAGAAAGTAATTATCCCAGGGGTGAACAGGAATGTATTGGGGGGAAAATTAAGAGTCTATCTTAAATGTATAAAATCATTCCAGGAAACTTTCAAATACATGTTTAAAAAGAGCTCAGCCTTTGTATTTTGTAAAAAAACATCTCAAGCAGACATTCAAAAGCAGGAAAAGTTGTCAAAATCTTAGCGGTCTTAAAAACAAAAAAAAAGCTTTAAAATCAGACTATGTAAACTTAATGTCTAAACACTTAATATGACCGCAATTAAAAATGCCAAAATGAAATGACTAAAATTAATTTAATCAGTAAACAATGCAATACTTAAAAAAAGTAAAACCAACAAAAAATTAGAGGACAAAAAAATCTTGCAAAAACTTTAAATGCTTAAGTGACATTGATGAGCTAAAATATTTAAGAGACAAGTCCGCTGAAAATACAGTGGTGCAAGAACAAAGTAACATCACTTCACATTGTTCCACAGATTCCAAGGGCTGGAGGCTGCTATCCCCCGTCACTAAAAGCACTGAAGCACTTAGAGGAGAGGAAAGTGATCAGGAACAGTCAGCATGGATTCACCAAGGGCAAGTCATGCCTGACTAATCTAATTGCCTTCTATGACGAGATAACTGGCTCTGTGGATGAGGGGAAAGCAGTGGACGTGTTGTTCCTTGTCTTTAGCAAAGCTTCTGATACGGTCTCCCACACTATTCTTGCCAGCAAGTTAAAGTACGGGCTGGACGAATGGACTATAAGGTGGGTAGAAAGTTGGCTAGATTGTCGGGCTCAACGAGTAGTGATCAATGGCTCAATGTCTAGTTGGCAGCCGGTATCAAGTGGAGTGCCCCAAGGGTCGGTCCTGGGGCCGGTTTTGTTCAATATCTTCACAAATGATCTGGAGGATGGTGTGGATTGCACCCTCAGCAAGTTTGATGATGACACTAAACTGGGAGGAGAGGTAGATACACTGGAAGGCAGGGACAGGATACAGAGGGCCCTAGACAAATGAGAGGATTGGGCCAAAAGAAATCTGAGGAGGTTCAACAAGGACAAGTGCAGAGTCCTGCACTTAGGATGGAAGAATCCCATGCACCGCTACAGACTAGGGACCGAATGGTTCGGCAGCAGTTCTGCAGAAAAGAACCTAGGGGTGACAGTGGACGAGAAGCTGGATATGAGTCAACAGTGTGCCCTTGTTGCCAAGAAGGCCAATGGCATTTTGGGATGTATAAGTAGGGGCATTGCCAGCAGATTGAGGGACGTGATCGTTCCCCTCTATTCGACACTGGTGAGGCCTCATCTGGAGTACTGTGTCCAGTTTTGGGGCCCACACTACAAGAAGGATGTGGAAAAATTGGAAAACATCCAGCGGAGGGCAACAAAAATGATTAGGGCACTGGAACACATGACTTATGAGGAGAAGCTGAGGGAACTGGGATTGTTCAGTCTGAGGAAGAGAAGAATGAGCGGGGATTTGATAGCTGCTTTCAACTCCCTGAAAGGGGGTTGCAAAGAGGATGGCTCTAGCCTGTTCTCAGCGGTGGCAGATGACAGAACAAGGAGTAATGGTCTCAAGTTGCAGTGGGGGAGATTTAGGTTGAATATTAGAAAACACTATTTCCCTAGGAGGGTGGTGAAACACTGGAATGGGTTCCCTAGGGAGGTGGTGGAATCTCCTTCCTTAGATATTTTTAAGGTCAGGCTTGACAAAGCCCTGGCTGGGATGATTTAGTTGGGGATTGGTCCTGCTTTGAGCAGGCGGTTGGACTAGATACCTCCTGGGGTCCCTTCCAACCCTGATATTCTATGATTCTATGATTTTATAAAAGGGTTATTGGTCTGAAATCTGCCCGTGACCTGTCAGAGACAGGCACGTACCTGTGTTGCTCCCCAGCTCCAGTCGCAGCATCTCTAGGGGAAGGAGAGGAAGAGAGAGGAGAGAATTCAGGCCCTCGCTTTCCTGGGGAGGTTCCCATTAGTTATTAATGTAACTGCTGTTAACTATGAGATGGTGACAGAGATCTGAGGCTGATAATGCAGCCACTGGGGAGAGAGCCAGCCCCACAGGGCGACTCCCATGGGGAAGGGCGACTCGCGGAGCTGGGGCTGCGAGATGGAGCCTGGGGTCAGTGACATCCCGAGAGTCCCTGACTCCTCCCCAGGGCCAGGGTTGCCCTAACCAGAGGAGACGCCACCCCCAGACTCCCACTCACCTTTGAATCCCCGCAGGACCTGCTGCAGGACGGCACTTGTCAGAGAGAAATCGCTGAGTCTCCTCTCCAGCTCCGCAAACCCCGGCTCCGGCTTCCGAAACACCCCGTCCTCCCTGCTGGGGAAAGGAGGAGGGGTGAGAAATAGGCCTGATCCCCAGACCCTGAGCCCAGCAACCCCCAAACTCCAGGAAACCTGGATCTGAGCTTTGTAGCCCGAGATGGTCATTGTCACGGTGAGTCACCCGCCCTCAACCCTGGGCTCTCCAGAGAGATGGGAAGTGGGGAGACACCAGAGCAAGGAACGGAGACATTCTTCAGGAGCTTTCTCCGGGAAACTCTGGTTCTGTGGGGTGCTGAGCCACCTCCCACGCTGGTTTACTGCAGTAACAAGGGGCACCAGCACTGGGATTATGTGGAAGGGGAGGAGAAACAGACCGAAGCCTGGGCAGGTCCTACATGCTGACAGTGGCCACAGACGGAGCTCAGGTCTCCACCAGGGAGTGAACCTGGGCCCTTTAATGCCAACCCCCCCAAGCCCTTCAGTTGAAGCAGTAACCCTGGGGCATCCAGCTCATTTGGCAGAGAGGGTCATATTGCCCTGTCCGTTATGGTCAGTGGGCCAGGGCGTCAGTTTAGGACTCTGTGCCCTGCTCCATTCACAGCAGAACACCCACTGCTCTCCATGGGACACCCCCGTGCAAAGGACAAGGTGAGAATCTGCCCTTCGTATAGGAAATACAATTTTAATTCTTAGTATTTTGCTAAGTCTTTGTCTGTCACACTCAGTGTCACTCAGGAGGAAAACAGACCCCCTCCTGGACTCCCCTGTAGGGCCCCCGATAGTTCTTCCCCTCCTTTCTCCATTTCCCTCTTGCTTCCTTGTCCTTGTGTCTCTCCTCTGTTCTTCCCTCCCTACAGCAACCACCAATTTCCACCCCACGAAGGCTTCACTCCCTCCCCTTCCCCTTTCCACCTGCTCAGGTGATCAGCCAGGGAACGCTGAATGTTGACATCAAAGCGTCCTCCCTTCAGTTGACACCCCGATGACATTAACAGGGGACAGGAGAGTTGACGCTCTCTGAGCTACGGCTTCGGGCAGCCCCAGCAAGGCAACGCTGCCTCCCTTTACCCTGCGGAGATGCGGGGGGCCAGCAATTCACTTTAAAAAATTCAAAAGCTGAGTTTCTGCACCCTCAGAACACGGGATGCGGCCGGGAGACAGGCCAGGTCGGGCCCATCGGCCCTGTGTCTAGCAGCCCTGCTGTGACCTCCTGAGCGATCAGACCCTGAACGGCTCTTCTCCTCCCTGAGTCAGCCACTGGGGGAGACAGAATCACATGCTCCAAGGGCAGGGGGCAGCTTCCTATTCAGTGCAGTTATCAACCCTAACGGCCCATGACGGGGAGCAAAGTGGAGCCCAGGTCTTACCTGCCCCCAGTGCTCCCAGCACCCTAAAGAGGGAGAGAAAGAGGAGGCAGTCAGGGGGCATGTCCCTGGGTGGGGAGGCCTCCTGCTCTGCAGGGGAGTCACCACTAAAGCCTCGGGTACGAGGGGAATTTCAGGTTTACATTCCCAGAGCAGCTGCCACCCCCTACCAGGGACTTTCCCCTATTGCTGGCAGGTCGCCACTGAGGAAACCTTCTCCCTAGGCACTTTACAGGCAGAAGATATTTCTCTGCATTGAGAACCCAATTCCTCCAGTGGTGAGAGACCCAGAAGGCCCCTGGCCCCACTGAACCCATTAACCTGCTGTGAGTGGGGCCTTAGATCCGGGGCTCAGCATGGTGGGGGAGGGGATTTCATCCTCCAAGTGAAAATGCAGACAGACATTTCCAGGAGAGAAGACTTTGGGGCTGCAGCATCCAGACTCCCAGGACCCATCCCTGGCGCCGCTGCCAGACTCACTTTGTGACCTTGTCCAGGGCTCTGCCCCTCCCTGTGCCTCAGTTTCCCCCTTTGTCCCATAGGGATAATTGCCCCAACCCCCCTTTGTAAAGTGCTTTGGGGTCTGGGGTGGAGACGCTCCTATAGGAACGCTGCGTGTGATCATTGCAACGACAGCCTGACCTGCAGGGGTGGGCTCAATGGCAGCTGCTCCTTCTCTCCTCCCTGCTCCCCGAGCAGGGAAATCTCCTGGGACAGGGGGCAGACACCCGCATCCCTTCTCTGGACAATGGCTCTCTCTAGCTCTTCCAACCGGGACAGCAGCCGCTGCTCCTGCTCCGCCAGAAACCCTCGCAGCTCCTGCCACTCCCAGACCATCTTCTGCCTCTCGGCTGCCATCCGGCTCTGCAACAGGGAGAGGGCGGCTCAGTAACAGGGGAACACAGAACATAAGACCGGACATACTGGGTCAGACCAAAGGACCATCTAGCCCAGTGTCCTGTCTTCCACAGTGGCCAAGGCCAGGTGCCCAAGTAAAATGAACAGAACAGGTCATCATCAAGTGATTCATCCCCTGTCACCCATTTCCAGCTTCTGGCAAACAGAAGCTAGGGACACCATCCCTGCCCATCCTGGCTAATAGCCACTGATGGACCTATCCTCCATGAACTTATTTAGCTCTTTTTTGAACCCTGTTATTGTCCTGGCCTTCAACATCCTCTGGCAAGGAGTTCCACAGGTTGACTGTGCAGTGTGTGAAAAAATACTTCCTCTTGTTTGTTTTAAACCTGCTGCCTATTCATTTCACGGGGTGACCCCTAGGCGTGTGTTATAGGAAGGAGTAAATAATACGTCCTTCTTTACTTTTGCCACACCAGTCATGATTTTATAGACCTCTATCCTATCCCCCCCACTTAGTTGTCTCTTTTCCAAGCTGAACAGCCTCAGGCTTTGTCTACCCCGGAACTTCGTCGGCACAACTTGTCATTCAGGGGTGTTAAAAAACACACACCCCAGTGACAAATTTTGACCCACGAAAAGTGCTGGGGTGAATAGCACGTTGTTGGCAGGAGCACTCTCCCACCGACAGCTGCCGCTTATGTGGGGTGGAAGTTTTTTGTTGGCAGGAGACCATGGATTTATAGAGAGGCAATCGGATGTTTTCTGTCTTATTATCTCTCCCTTTCTTCACGATTCCCAATGGTCTGTTTGCTTTTTTGACCGACGCTGCACCTTGAATGGATGTTTCCAGAGAACTGTCCACCATGATGCCAACATCTCTTTCTTGAGTGGCAACAGCTAATTTAGACCCCGTCATTTTCTGTGCATAATTGATATGACTTTTTCCAATGAGCGTTACTTTGCATTTATCCGCATAGACATTCATCTGCTCGGTAACTGGGGAGAATCATAAATGCACCTCGGGACGGATGACAGAGTTATTTACCAGAACACAAGATGTCTTGCGGTGGGGGGTGGGAAGTTCATTTATCCCAGGAAGAGAGGAGAGATAAGGGCCGGGGTGAGCTGTACATCACCAACAGGAGGGACACTTCCCCCCAGAACCTCATCAACTTGCACCGAGCCAAATCCTCCATCTCCGCAGCCCGCATTTCCGCACCATTCCCCCTAGGTGCGGGAAAGGCTCCCCGGTCACTGTGACACGCAGACAGCCCGTGGGCAGGGGCTCTGGACTCACACAGACTGACCCGCTCCTGCCCAGCAGCCTCCCGCACCCTACGGGCACCATGCCACCCCCATGTCGGACCCTCCGGTGGGGACGGGTCCCTGGCTGAGGCTGGCAGGCTGGGCCCTGCATTCGCCGTCACTCGGGGCACCGGGATCCCTGGTGAACCTGGGCCCTGGGCACCTACCAGCAGCTCCTGGCTTTGCCGCGGCTCCTCGGCTTCGGCGGCTTCTCTCTCTTTGCCCGGAGGGGCCCGACGCTCTCGGGGGGGCTCCTGGAAGATGGGGGGAGAGGAGAGGAAACTGCTACAAACGGCTGTCAGATTTCAGGGCCCCCTCCTGCCCTGCAGATTCCTGTACAGAGTCGGGGGGGGGGGTGGGGGGCTCAGACTGAGAGGAGACGGTGAAACAGGGACCAGCTTTTCCCGAGGAAACGCAGGGCCCCCGGCTGGGTGCAGCCCGACCCCCAGCGCCCCACGTCACCCGGGGGGTGGGGGGGGGACCTCGCTCACATCCCAAGCAGCCAACTTCAGACAGTCCCAGCTCCGACCCCCAATGCTCCCGCAGGGCCAGATCTGAACATGGAGCCCCCCCCCCCCGAAAACATCCCCCCAATCGCCAGCTCTGAGCCCCCCCCACCCCGTAAATCGACTCGCCCCAAACTCCCAGCTCCAAGAATCCCCAGCACCAGCCGCTCCCCCCCCCCAGCTCCGGCTCTGACCCCCCCCGCTCCGGCTCTGACCCCCCCCCCCAGCTCCCCCATCCCCGGCTCCCGGCCGAGCCTGGGCTCCGGGCCCCTCCCGGGCTCCGTGGCTCCGGCCCGGGACACTCGCCCCCCGCGGCAGGAGCGCGTCCGCCCCACGCGTGTCCCCGGCCCCCGCCGCCCACCCGGGCCCTGCCCCGCGGCCCCACCGCGCTGCCCCGCGGGCCGCCGGCCTGGAGCAGCCTCCGCGCTGCGCTCCCGGCCCCGGCCATGGCCCCGCTGCAAACACACAAAGGCTCCCCGGGCTGGGGGGGCAGGAAGGGGCGGCTCCTCCCCGGGCCTGGCCCTGCCCCAGCGGGCCCCTCGCAGGGCGTTTGGGACACTCGGGGATCGGGGAACCCCCCCCCAAACACACACAGCCTGGGGGGGCAGGAGACCGGCTGGATCGTCTCAGGAGAAAAGCAAGGGGAAGGGGGCTGGTTTTCCCAGCTGGGGATATGCAGAGATCTCCTCTGAGTTCGGCTTTGGAGCCTGGGCACCGTGTACAAGCCCCTTCCTGGAAAGCGCCTAAATCCCCTGGCCACAGCTCTCCCCTGCCCGGCTGTGGGGAGCTCCCGGGGGCAGCAGAGTGGCGCAGCGGAAGCGTGCTGGGCCCATAACCCAGAGGTCGATGGATCGAAACCATCCTCTGCTAGCTGGGCTTTTATTGCCCACTGCCCTGGGCAGCGTTCAGCCTCCCTTTATTCCTCCTCTCCCTGCGTGACCCTTCCCCGGCCCTGAACGGCAGGAATAAAGCCCCAGCAGCCAGAGTCCCCTCCTGTCAGGGGAGAGCTCTGCACGGACCGGCTCTGTCTCAGGGGGGCCAGGTTTATATAAGTTTTGGTGGTGCCCAGAACGGGTCCAAGTCCTGCCCGGTTCCTCCCCTCTCCCTCCCCTTCCCTCCCGCACCCCCCACAGCTCCGCCTAAGGCTCTGGGAGGGAGTTTGGGTGCAGGAGGGGGGGGGGGCTCTGGGAGGGAGTTGTGGGCTCTGGGCTGGGGCAGGGCGTTGGGGGGCAGGGGGGGACACTGGCAGGCTCTGGGAGGGAGTTTGGGTGCAGGAGGGGGGTGGGCTCTGGGAGGGAGTTGTGGGCTCTGGGCTGGGGCAGGGCATTGAGGGGCAGGGGGGACACTGGCAGGCTCTGGGAGGGAGTTTGGGTGCAGGAGGGGGGGGTGGGCTCTGGGGAGGGAGTTGTGGGCTCTGGGCTGGGGCAGGGCATTGGGGGGCAGGGGGGGACACTGGCAGGCTCTGGGAGGGAGTTTGGGTGCAGGAGGAGGGGTGGGCTCTGGGAGGGAGTTGTGGGCTCTGGGCTGGGGCAGGGGGTTGGGGGGCAGGGGGGGACACTGGCAGGCTCTGGGCGGGAGTTTGGGTGCAGGAGGGGGGTGGGCTCTGGGAGGGAGTTGTGGGCTCTGGGCTGGGGCAGGGCATTGGGGGGTAGGGGGGACACTGGCAGGCTCTGGGAGGGAGTTTGGGTGCAGGGGGGGGTGGGCTCTGGGAGGGAGTTGTGGGCTCTGGGCTGGGGCAGGGGGTTGGGGGGCAGGGGGGGACACTGGCAGGCTCTGGGAGGGAGTTTGGGTGCAGGAGGGGGGGTGGGCTCTGGGAGGGAGTTGTGGGCTCTGGGCTGGGGCAGGGGGTTGGGGGCAGGGGGGGACACTGGCAGGCTCTGGGAGGGAGTTTGGATCCAGGAGGGGGGGGGGCTCTGGGAGGGAGTTGTGGGGTCTGGGCTGGGGCAGGGGGTTGGGGGCAGGGGGGGACACTGGCAGGCTCTGGGAGGGAGTTTGGGTGCAGGAGGGGGGGTGGGCTCTGGGAGGGAGTTGTGGGCTCTGGGCTGGGGCAGGGCGTTGGGGGGTAGGGGGGACACTGGCAGGCTCTGGGAGGGAGTTTGGGTGCAGGGGGGGTGGGCTCTGGGAGGGAGTTGTGGGCTCTGGGCTGGGGCAGGGGGTTGGGGGGCAGGGGGGGACACTGGCAGGCTCTGGGAGGGAGTTTGGGTGCAGGAGGGGGGGTGGGCTCTGGGAGGGAGTTGTGGGCTCTGGGCTGGGGCAGGGCATTGGGGGGCAGGGGGGGACACTGGCAGGCTCTGGGAGGGAGTTTGGGTGCAGGAGGGGGGTGGGCTCTGGGAGGGAGTTGTGGGCTCTGGGCTGGGGCAGGGCATTGGGGGGCAGGGGGGGACACTGGCAGGCTCTGGGAGGGAGTTTGGGTGCAGGAGGAGGGGTGGGCTCTGGGAGGGAGTTGTGGGCTCTGGGCTGGGGCAGGGCATTGGGGGGTAGGGGGGACACTGGCAGGCTCTGGGAGGGAGTTTGGGTGCAGGGGGGTGGGCTCTGGGAGGGAGTTGTGGGCTCTGGGCTGGGGCAGGGGGTTGGGGGCGGGGGGGGGACACTGGCAGGCTCTGGGAGGGAGTTTGGATCCAGGAGGAGGGGTGGGCTCTGGGAGGGAGTTGTGGGCTCTGGGCTGGGGCAGGGCATTGGGGGGCAGGGGGGGACACTGGCAGGCTCTGGGAGGGAGTTTGGGTGCAGGAGGGGGGTGGGCTCTGGGAGGGAGTTGTGGGCTCTGGGCTGGGGCAGGGCATTGGGGGGCAGGGGGGGACACTGGCAGGCTCTGGGAGGGAGTTTGGGTGCAGGAGGGGGGGTGGGCTCTGGGAGGGAGTTGTGGGCTCTGGGCTGGGGCAGGGGGTTGGGGGGCAGGGGGGGACACTGGCAGGCTCTGGGAGGGAGTTTGGATCCAGGAGGGGGGTGGGCTCTGGGAGGGAGTTGTGGGCTCTGGGCTGGGGCAGGGCATTGGGGGGTAGGGGGGACACTGGCAGGCTCTGGGAGGGAGTTTGGGTGCAGGAGGGGGGGTGGGCTCTGGGAGGGAGTTGTGGGCTCTGGGCTGGGGCAGGGGGTTGGGGGGCAGGGGGGGACACTGGCAGGCTCTGGGAGGGAGTTTGGATCCAGGAGGGGGGGTGGGCTCTGGGAGGGAGTTGTGGGCTCTGGGCTGGGGTTGGGGGGCAGGGGGGACACTGGCAGGCTCTGGGAGGGAGTTTGGGTGCAGGAGCGGGGGTGGGCTCTGGGAGGGAGTTGTGGGCTCTGGGCTGGGGCAGGGCATTGGGGGGTAGGGGGGACACTGGCAGGCTCTGGGAGGGAGTTTGGGTGCAGGGGGGGTGGGCTCTGGGAGGGAGTTGTGGGCTCTGGGCTGGGGCAGGGCATTGGGGGGCAGGGGGGGACACTGGCAGGCTCTGGGAGGGAGTTTGGGTGCAGGAGGGGGGGTGGGCTCTGGGAGGGAGTTGTGGGCTCTGGGCTGGGGCAGGGGGGCAGGGGGGGACACTGGCAGGCTCTGGGAGGAAGTTTGGGTGCAGGAGGGGGGCTGGGCTCTGGGAGGGAGTTGTGGGCTCTGGGCTGGGGCAGGGGGTTGGGGGGCTGTAGGGGACATTGGCAGGCTCTGGGAGGGAGTTTGGGTGTGGGTGGGGTGAGGGATCTGGGCTGGGGCAGAGGGCTGGGGTGTGGCACTTATCTTGGGTGGCTCCTGAAAGTGACCCGCACCCCCATCTGATAGCAGCTCCAAAATGGCCGGGGGGGGGGGGGGCGGAGGGTCTCCGGGCACCCACAGGCCCCACCCCTGCAGCTCCCGTTGGCCGCAGCTTTACAGTGGCAGAATTGGTGCTCGGCACAGGGGCAGTGTGCCAGAGACACCCCCCGCAGGGGCTGCAGGGATGTGCCAGACGCTTCTGGGAGGGGCGCTCCACCTGGAGCAAGGGTGGGCAGGAAGCCACGTTAGCCCCGGGAGTGGCGGCAGGGGCCCCCGGGCCCTTTTAAATCGCCCGGAGCCAGCTGCTCAGGCGGCCCTGGGGGGCAGCCACACCGGCCGCTGCTGGGACGGCCCCGGGCGGCTGGCTCTGGGGACGGCCTGAGCAGTGGCCAATGCGGCTCTCCCCAGCCAGAGCCCCGTGGCTCCCGGCAGCTGTCCCAGGGCAGCCAGAGTAGCAGAGGGCCCCCCAGCAGTGGCCAGAGTGACAGGGGCTCCCCCCTCCCCAGCGGCACAGTGGACCCCCTGGAGCTTCCCCTCCCCGCAGCTGGTGCTGTGGGCCCCCCACATTCCCTCCCCAAGATTCAATCAGGGGTATTTATGGAATAGGTCGGGGGCCATGACCTGTCCATGACTTTTACTAACAATACCCAGGAGCCTTAGCTACGACTCCAGTCATGTGACTTCTTTTGCAGGAGGGACTTTTTTCCTGGAAGAGCAGAGTGGTATTTCTGGGGCACAGGCAGCCTGATTCATACTCTGCAAAGCCACCTGCAAGATTCAAACTTTACTCCGGGGGGAATTCTGCACCACTGCGCACGCGCAGAATGCATGTCCCCCCGTAGATTTCTTTGCTTCCCTGCAGGAAAAATGGCTTTCTGATGGGCGGGAGCAAAGTGAAGCCACAAGAGTGGTCTCGCACCCCTCCTGAGCAGTTCTGGGGAGTCGGTTTGGGCTCCTGGTGTAGGCAGCAGAGGGGTGCAGCCTCGCCACGAAGTCTGTTTCCCAGGAGGGGAGAGGGGACTGCAGGGTGATCTCCCACCTCCTTTCATCCAGCAGCCTGTGCTCCTCACTGCCGAGCTGGAGCCTCCACATGTATTTACTGGCAAATAAAACGTGCAGAATTTTAAAATATCGTGCACAGAATCTCCTCAGGAGTGCAGCCTACTCAGGGAACCTCCTTGGATGGTCACTGCTTGGTCAACCCCTCAGCCATCACACCGATGCACAGAGAGAGTGCCAAGCCCTCCTGCTAGGCGGGGAGGGAGTGGGGGACGGGGTCGGGTCATACACATTCAGACTGCACGCCTCCCCCAGTTACAAACCACTGCTGAGTTCCCATTCAGGACATTAGCCTTTACCGACAATTTTTGTCTGTGTTCCTTTTTTCAGCATCGCTTTTTTCTTTCAAAAATACGCAACCCCCTGAACCTGCTTTCAGCAATCAGAATCATAGAATCATAGAAGATCAGGGTGGGAAGGGCCCTCAGGAGGTATCTAGTCCGACCCCCTGCTCAAAGCAAGGCCAACCCCCAACTAAATCATCCCAGCCAGGGCTTTGTCAAGCCTGACCTTAAAAATATCTAAGGAAGGAGATTCCACCACCACCCTAGGTAACCCATTCCAGTGTTTCACCACCCTCCTAGGGAAAAAGTGTTTCCTAATATCCAGCCTAAACCTAGGATAATTTAGTGTCACCTTATTTTTCCTGGCCCCCTACAAAAGAAGAGGCTTTTGTGGTTTTCCTGAGCCTGAGGATGAAAACGAACGGTGTGGATTGTTACCGAGCGGAACCCGTCGTTGGCATGGGGAGTGTAGACACAGCCTCAGACTCGGTGCTTGTGAGGGGGGAAGCATTCCCTCTAGAGGCACCCAGGGGGTGGTGTGGAATTGTCCCAGGCAGGGCCACCCAGATGGGGGGTGGGGGAAAGTGGGGCAATTTGCCCCAGGCCCCCACGAGAGTTTTCAGGGGCCCCCATGAGAGTTTTTGGCGGCCCTGCGGCTGCGGGTCCCTCAGTGCCGCCGAACACACCCGGAGTGAAGGACCCACTGCCAAAGACCTGCCTCCGCTCCAGCTCTTCGGCGGCAAGGGGTTCTTCCGCTCCGTGTCTTCGGCGAAGTGCCCCAAAGACCCAGAGCGGAAGGACCCCCGCCGCCGAAGATCCCAGGTCCCCTGAATCCTCTGGGTGGCCCTGGTCCCAGGTTACTGGGTCAGGGCTCGAGCGGGTTCTTTGTTGTGTTGTTGAAAAGGAGCCCCTAGATATTGAACCCGGGCCGTGTTGCTGCCGACTTCAACTGGC